AGAAAGCGTGAGTGAGATCGTCACAACTCGGCTTGCGCATTGCTACCTGACCTATTTTGGTTTAGCGAATATAATAATGGTAATACAACAATACATAATAATAATACAGTAGTAATAATTGCGTGCGCAAATGTTTAAAATGGGTTTGAAACTGCAGGCGGGAACCCAACTTCTGACGTATTTCACAACTATTCCACAAATTTAAATGAAATTAGAAACCATCTGGGTCTGTCCTGAACTTGAGACTTAATATTGGTTCAAGACAGACCGAAACATCATCCAAGTTGTGGGCGTATCAGATACTGTCAGATTCCCTTCTACAATTTGTGTGTTGCATTTATTGGTGGACTGAGAGGTGACACACTGCGTCAAGTTTGCAACTATTGTATGATGCAGTTTGACAGCTGACTGTTGGTGGTGATACATTAGCAACTGGAGATGGGAATCTTGTTTCACGCACGGTATACCTTGCCTATACCAATGATGAATTTTTTCTACTTCCGGAGCCCGGCCATGAACCAGGCTCGTTTAGTGCTTGCCTGATCAACCAGGCTGTTGCTGCTGGTGGCCCGCTGATCCACATATCCATCACAGCCTGATTAACGTGACACCTGTTAAAGATACTTGCCCAGTTTCCTCTCAAAGACTTATACACTTGTTTCAGCAGTGTTTCTGATATCTTCTGGTAATATGTTGAAGTCTGGGGCCACGGACGATTATACTGTTCCCTTATTGTGCCCACTGAACCCCTGCTTTTTACTGGGTTTATTTTGCACCTCCTCCCACATCTTTCACTCCAGTATGTTGTTATGGCAGTGTTTTGATTTTAGACAAGGCCCTTGAGTACTGTCCAGGTATTATGACTTAGTCGTCAAGAAACTTAAGGTTTTCTTTCTCCAATTTTTCAGTTTTTTTTTTTTCACTCATAACTCGTGAATGCCTAATCTGGCTACAAATTTTCAACGCTTGTGGTATGCGTATTAGTTACCATTTTGTCATACACGGATATCGACTAGACACTTGGCCTGTTGTGTGTGTTTGCGGAGGTATACGCGGGTGCGCGCGCTCAAGTTTTTAAATGCATTTAGAGTGCAGCAAATATGGTAATTACTTGTGTATACTGAGAGTATGTGGGTGAACCTGAGTTCTTATCTGCACTTCCTTCCACTGAATCAAGCCCCTTTTTTTTTAAGAAATAAAAAATATACGAATGTCTGAACTTAATGCAATATCAAAGGTCATTAATAGGTTTGATATTATATAACTACATCTGTTGTAGGTTCTATTTCAAGAGTTGACCTTGGTGGGGGTAATTACCTGCTCCCTTGTACTAATTTTAATTAATACCTTGCAACACATTGATATACACTCCCTTAGGTGTAACATGTCGGAATACAAATTAAAGCGGTGGGAGTGTATAATTACAACACTGAGTAATACTATACGACGATTAGCTGCAACATTTTTATTTCCTTGTACCTTTGTAGATGAATTTATAACTATAACGTGGTTATACATAATCTTTTATTCTTCATATAAGTATTTATACAGTTAGCCGAAGCGGATAAGTGTCTTGTTCTCTAAATTTCTGCTTTGCTGTGTTCAAACAAGGTGTGTGGTAATAGCACTGATGGTAGTCTACACTTCTCTGAACATAATATCAGTTCACATTTATCCCGATTTTACTACGTATTTTTTTGACGTGGTTACCATTTTTTTTTTTTTTACTTTTTTTTTCTTTAAATTGTTTCCTCTATTAGGTATCCCTGAATGGTTAGGGTTTTTTTTTTCCTTCCTCCCAGATTTTCGTTTAATTTCTAAACACCTCTCTGCTGGGCTTTACGTGTTCAACGTTGCTTTCGTGCAAGTGATGGAATTTTGAACTACCGATGTTATGAAATTTAATAAATTTTTAACAAGTTCCTCCACAAATTAATACAACTATTTACACCTTTTGCAATAAATTCATTATATTTTCTTGTTTTACCGTTGTATTGGTAAGATTAAACTAAGAGTTTATTCATACTTGCTGTATAGTCCTTGTGTTAGCGCATCTAAATAAGATTATATTATACTTATGTTTTGAGGTCTGTTAACCAAGAAACAAGATAAAAACAAGATAAAACCGACGCTGGCTGGGTATTGACTGTCTTATTGGCATAAATATGGCCAGTGTTAAACTTACTTCAATTCAGTTCCGTTCTTAACCTTAACTGTCAACAATCTCATTTGAGGGTGTAAGTGTATCCAAGACTCTTAGTTTTACTAATTCAAAGGGTTTTAAAAAGTAGAATCTATTCTGAACCTTTGGAGTTTAAGTACCTCTAGTCTCCTGTATTTGGTTTAAGGTATAATCCAACAACCTTGATAGTGCCAGTGGAAAGTCCTGAGTTTTAAAATGATATTACTCTTGTCTTCTGAACCTCTGGAGGTTTAAATATACTCTAGAGTCTTTTATTTGGTAATAGTAACTTACCAACAATGTTAGATAAGAGCCAACTGTGTGACTATGGTAATTATGCAATATTTTATTGTGGTTACTTTACCTAACATCTCTTATAGGGACTGAGCTGCAGTTCCCTCATAGTTAGTTTGGAAGTAGATAGTTGGTCCTGGCTATTACATGTAATTGATTGTGTGTACTGGATGTTCAAGTTTCTTTACATGGGCAGGGTTAGAAAACACATTTGCTTCAAGAAGAGGTAGATTGGGCAATTAGGTGAGTTTAGGTGATGCGATAATAATTTTATTTAATCTGTAATGTATACCTTTTTCGAAAGTATTTGCTACTTTGAAAGTTTAAAAAAAAACATAATTTAATCAGTGTGGCAACTGAGGTAGCCGAGAAAAGTCGGAATTTGAGTTACTTCTGGTGACGGTCATTCTAGTTATATTTTTCCGTTCTTACTATTATAGCTGCAAAGTTGGCATTTTACAGCTGAGATAATATGTTGAGAGCATAATGTCTTGTAGGCGACTACTGCCGTTCCATTAACTTCGTCTGTAATGTTGTAGCGGTCCTACCTGTGGCGGGTTCCTTCTTAAGCTTATTTTATATTAAACATTGGTTTGCTTTTAAATCTCTTGAATACTTGATTTAGTAGTGGACTCAGTAAGGACACCACCCTTAGGCATTATGTTGTAAACAAAGCACGTCCCAGTCGGCTCATTCTCCCAACCACTCTTTCCTTCCTCCCTTTATCCCCTCCTGTTGCTGTAGTTACAAAACTCCTTCCCTTTGCACCATTTAGGCATACAAAAAGGGTACCATGTGATATATGACCCAATTTTTATACAGCCTTCCCACTTTGTGACTAAACACTCCCTCTGCATCAATCTCAGTCATTCTGTTGCTGAGTGTCTAACCTAACGTCCTTTAATTTTATCCATCTCCAGCTCAGGATAACATTTCATTACCTTATGTGTGAAACTCGACCTGTGTGTTGGAATACAACAGAAACTCCACCTTCTCGGTGGACTAAAACAAGCTCCCTCTGGAAGAATATAACGAACAGAAACTGTTGGTAAAAATATGTAACAAACTCTCTTTAATTAATGGAATATAAGAAACTCAACCTGGTGGGGGAATACAACAGGGAAACATAAGTAGCTTCTATTTCCACACTGTAACTATCATACAAAAACAGTGTAGCCGCACACCGCGAGCGCACTGAAACCGGATTACAAAAAAGAGCCTCCCTTCGTTTTTGTACTTCCCTTGTATCTTCTCATCTACCATTTTATCCCAATATTACAGGTCCTTTTGACTTCCAGCACGGGCTTGTCTGCCAGGCGGACATTCCAACAAATTTTTACCTTCAGATTTTAACCTTGCCTGTTTTTTTTCCTGGACCAGCATGTTGCCAAACGCATCGCGGGCTATTTTGTTGCAATTTGCTTATTTTTGGTTTGATGCACGTGTTTATCTTCAAAAAGAGAGACAAACTATGGAAAAGGGGGCATATTTATGTCTTAATAAATTTTAAAAAATTGTCTGTTATCAGTTAAGGTTGTCAGGTGTAAATAAGACACAAAAAGCGAGTTATAGCATCTTGTGTCTTACTATCGATATAGTCAACCATTGTATTACCAAAGTTTTTGACATACAGGTAAGTGTATACGACGGATTACGTTCATAAAGACTAGTTTTAATGTAATGTGTGACGCTCACTTGAATACTCACACTTCCTTAAAAAATAATCCTGTAATGTGAACACCATTCTTGTATTTAGTGACTACTGAAACTGAAAGAAAAACAATGATTTACGATAATACATTCATTCTCTGAGTTGCCTTTGTTTCTGAACCTGGAGAATGTAACCTTATCAAACTTAACCTAACTTAAAATAAAAGAAAATAGGATTTGACAAATCAGAAGCATTAAGAAATTAACATTGAGTACCACGTTAACAATCTGACTTTGTTGCAGGAAGTCCACAACTGTGTGTGTGTGTGTGTGTGTGTGTGTGTGTGTGTGTGTGTGTGTGTGTGTGTGTGTGCGCGCGCGTGCGTGCGTGCTCGCGTTCCCGCGCTGTTTTTTACATGCTAACCCTTACTTTCTTGGACTCGGATCTAGATAGTATTAATAATAATTATTATTAATAACAATAACTATTAATAATAAGTATAAATATGATAATAAGCATTAATAATAATATTAAACCAGTGTGCATAATTCATTGTAAGATCAGAGGCACAATCCTCCCTCTCATAATCACCGAATATAAACCTACATAAGCTATGTAAAACGGTGCATAAATATGATAATGAAGGTTGGAATAGTACGGGTTGGTACCAACGACTGTAGCCATACTTTTTCGATTCCATATTAACCTAAGAAGTCACATTATATGTTGCAATGCTTGTGGTCTTTTAAGTCTTCGTTAATAATTTTCCATAATATTTATATATGTTATGTATACAGCATATTTTAATATTAACATTTGCACATTTTTTCATTCTTACTTGTCAATACTAATGTGTGTAATTGTGCATTGCAGGAAGCTGGTGGTCCTGGTCTGGACGCTGGACTCTGGCAAGGCAGTGCCCTCTGGAGCAGCATCCACTGTCTGCTGCTTCCTTCATGATCTACTCCTGACTCCTGTGTACTCTTTTTATGCTATCCCTGCTGCAGCACCCATGGCCAGACTCAACCTGTCCACTACATCCTTGTCAGTGTGTGTGTCATCACCACTGGTATTCTGTCTTACACTGTCTTAATGACTAGTGTTTGTCAACTGTAGGCATCACTGTGATTTGGCTGTTTAAGGTACCTTAACACGTATTTTAAGTTAACACGCCTTAATTTGTGCCTATTAGTTGCAAAGTTAATATTTTTAATTGTAAAATTTAAGCACCACAAACTTGAGCCATCCGTTACATGCACACCAAGCTTATTGGCTTCAACCTAAAATATATATATATATATAAAGTTAGATGCTGTCAGCCTTACTATCAGTCATCTTAGAGACTTTGGGAGGAGTTTATCCTGTGATAAGCAGTCACTGACACTGTTGGCTGCTACACTAGACATCCGTCCACCGGCCTTATCCTTCATCACCGTCTCTTCTTACACATTGCTTCCTAAACTCGAGCTTATCTGTACTATACGGAGGAGGCAACGTCCTGGGCTAGTGTGAGGGCTCACTCTGTGAAGAATTGCTGTGGTGGTGAGGGGGAAACCCCCTTATTCATGCCAGCGTGTTACCATTGCTAGTGTGGTAGGCGCATCCAAATATTGATTACCCTGGCATTGTCCCCTACTACTAGCGTCTACGGGGAGCACGTGCTGCTATACGTGACTGGAATACTGCAGTGAGTGGTAAAGTTAAACTGTGTTCATTCTTCCACGAGTGGAGTTGGTGCTGTTGAAGTGTGTTCTGCGCCGCCGTCATGACCGTCACTTACACCAGCCAGGTAGCCACCTGCAGCGGCCTAGGCTGCTTCTGGAAACTTCTCTTCAGGTGAGTGAACTATTAAACGTTTTTTTCCTATACACTTAGTGGGAGAAATGAATGGCAACGTTTGGCACTGCTGATGCAATAAAAGGGCACCATAAGTATGACTGTTTTTTTTTTTTAACTACACGTCATATGAGAACTACGTGTACTTTGTGATGAATTATCCGTACCACCAGTCATAGGCGGAGAGTGATCTTCAATCGGTATTTATATACTCATATCAGGAATTCCCAAGGTCACATCTGACTGTGCCCCAAGCTAATGTATTTTAGGTGCTGATTTATATGTCCAATACAATCGCATTGTAAACTAATGTCGTACTAGAATGAGTTATAACTGGTAAATTTAGCACGAGGAGTGGACGAGGGCAATCCATGTTGCTACAGCTCCCAAATATGAAAGTTATCTACGCAAGTGAGGTCAGGACGCGTCTGGGATGTGTGGGGCGGTGTGTGGCTGGATCAATGTGAGCGTAAAACTCAACTAGCTGTCCCGAATACTTGCCCCCTCACGAATAGCTTTAAATGGCAATATCAACAGAAATGTTTTAATACACAGAACGTTCTATAACGTTCTGTCCTGTCCCTTGATGCCGACGAAGAGTTCTTTATCAAAGAGATTCAAGGCGCCCTCACTTCGAATCAAATCTGATGACTTCACATTGAGTCGCTGTACAACCACTATAAGATTAATACTTCCCGGTAAAATTAATAATAATGTTGCATTCCTATTTGAAGGTCTGTTTACCTCCTACTTTTTCTTGTTTTATTCACTTGTTTATCAATGTGTGTTTTGGGCTATGAAAGATACTTGAATTTTTACTAGGTAGTGAAGATGACTTAAGAAATCGTAATGACACGATTGCAAATAAACCATACCCCCGGCCGGGATTGAACCCGCGGTCATAGTCTCAAAACTCCAGTGGCTCTAGTGGCTAGCTGGTCTAGTGGCTAGCGCGACGGTCTGGAGTTTTGAGACTCTATGACCGCGGGTTCAATCCCGGCCGGGGGTATGGTTTAGGTAGTGAAGACTTGAGTGATGGGTTTAAATGTTAGCGAACACATTGATGTTATTGGAAGTAGATGAGCAGGCAGTGTTAGTGGAGGTAGATGAGCAGGCAGTGTTGGTGGAGGTAGATGAGCAGGCAGTGTTAGTGGAGGTAGATGAGCAGGCAGTGTTAGTGGAGGTAGATGAGCAGGCAGTGTTAGTGGAGGTAGATGAGCAGGCAGTGTTAGTGGAGGTAGATGAGCAGGCAGTGTTGGTGGAGGTAGATGACCAGGCAGTGTTAGTGGAGGTAGATGAGCAGGCAGTGTTAGTGGAGGTAGATGAGCAGGCAGTGTTGGTGGAGGTAGATGAGCAGGCAGTGTTGGTGGAGGTAGATGAGCAGGCAGTGTTAGTGGAGGTAGATGAGCAGGCAGTGTTAGTGGAGGTAGATGAGCAGGCGTGTTGGTGGAGGTAGATGAGCAGGCAGTGTTGGTGGAGGTAGATGAGCAGGCAGTGTTGGTGGAGGTAGATGAGCAGGCAGTGTTGGTGGAGGTAGATTGAGCAGGCAGTGTTGGTGGAGGTAGATGAGCAGGCAGTGTTGGTGGAGGTAGATGAGCAGGCAGTGTTGGTGGAGGTAGATGAGCAGGCAGTGTTGGTGGAGTAGATGAGCAGGCAGTGTTGGTGGAGGTAGATGAGCAGGCAGTGTTGGTGGAGGTAGATGAGCAGGCAGTGTTGGTGGAGGTAGATGAGCAGGCAGTGTTGGTGGAGGTAGATGAGCAGGCAGTGTTGGTGGAGGTAGATGAGCAGGCAGTGTTGGTGGAGGTAGATGAGCAGGCAGTGTTGGTGGAGGTAGATGAGCAGGCAGTGTTGGTGGAGGTAGATGAGCAGGCAGTGTTGGTGGAGGTAGATGAGCAGGCAGTGTTGGTGGAGGTAGATGAGCAGGCAGTGTTGGTGGAGGTAGATGAGCAGGCAGTGTTGGTGGAGGTAGATGAGCAGGCAGTGTTGGTGGAGGTAGATGAGCAGGCAGTGTTGGTGGAGGTAGATGAGCAGGCAGTGTTGGTGGAGGTAGATGAGCAGGCAGTGTTGGTGGAGGTAGATGAGCAGGCAGTGTTGGTGGAGGTAGATGAGCAGGCAGTGTTGGTGGAGGTAGATGAGCAGGCAGTGTTGGTGGAGGTAGATGAGCAGGCAGTGTTGGTGGAGGTAGATGAGCAGGCAGTGTTGGTGGAGGTAGATGAGCAGGCAGTGTTAGTGGAGGTAGATGAGCAGGCAGTGTTGGTGGAGGTAGATGAGCAGGCAGTATTGGTGGAGGTAGATGAGCAGGCAGTGTTGGTGGAGGTAGATGAGCAGGCAGTGTTGGTGGAGGTAGATGAGCAGGCAGTGGTTGGTGGAGGTAGATGAGCAGGCAGTGTTGGTGGAGGTAGATGAGCAGGCAGTGTTAGTGGAGGTAGATGAGCAGGCAGTGTTGGTGGAGGTAGATGAGCAGCAGTGTTAGTGGAGGTAGATGAGCAGGCAGTGTTGGTGGAGGTAGATGAGCAGGCAGTGTTGGTGGAGGTAGATGAGCAGGCAGTGGGGTGGAGGTAGATGAGCAGGCAGTGTTGGTGGAGGTAGATGAGCAGGCAGTGTTAGTGGAGGTAGATGAGCAGCAGTGTTGGTGGAGGTAGATGAGCAGGCAGTTGTTGGTGGAGGTAGTATGAGCAGGCAGTGTTAGTGGAGGTAGATGAGCAGGCAGTGTTGGTGGAGGTAGATGAGACAGGCAGTGTTGGTGGAGGTAGATGAGCAGCAGTGTTGGTGGAGGTAGATGAGCAGGCAGTGTTGGTGGAGGTAGATGAGCAGGCAGTGTTAGTGGAGGTAGATGAGCAGGCAGTGTTGGTGGAGGTAGATGAGCAGGCAGTGTTAGTGGAGGTAGATGAGCAGGCAGTGTTGGTGGAGGTAGATGAGCAGGCAGTGTTAGTGGAGGTAGATGAGCAGGCAGTGTTAGTGGAGATGAAAAGGCAATTTTTAAAGTGGAGCCCAGCTATTAGGTTAAATGCTAGAGGAGGAATGTTACCTGGAATCGATTCTGGGGGTCATCGCCCCCGTGGCCTAGCTTCAGACTAAACTTAATTTTTATTTCTGTCAAAGTCACGACAAATATCCGAAATAATTTGGTCATGGAAATGATCTGAAATAATTTAGGAGAAAGTTAGTCGGAGGTAAAGCCACGCGTTACGCCAGCTTTTCATTTTAATTTATAAAAATGTGCATTTTTAACATTACAAGAAGTTAATGTTTCCAGTAAACTGGCAGAAATAGTGTGATACGCAATTTTTAGCAGTTTGTCATTAGTAACCCACCTACCTGACTCAATATATTCATCCCTCTCTCCCTGTATCCTGGTAAGTGTTATGTTGCTCCACTGGCACACCAGTTACCCACCACTTGTAGTCATGACGCTGAGTCGCCATATAGTGGTGATGAGGTTTGAGGGGCCTTGTCCAGGAACCCACAACTTCTTCCTTCCTCCTCTTTTGGTCTGACTAGCAACTAAATTTCTCTTACGTTAAATTTTGCTGTGCTTTATAACCCCATGTGTTGGAGCAGATTATGGATATGGCTTGGACTCGCTTACGAGGTGATGGTGGGGAGCAATAGGATGGGCGACAACCCAACTGTGGACTAGACTCGCTTAAACAATTGTGGTATTACGATTTCTTGAGTCTCTCTTCTTAGCTCCTCGCCTTACAGACACCACCCTTTTCAGAGATCGTGCCTCACAGACCTTGTCTTATAGATATTCCATTTCCAGGTTTGCGCCTAATAAACCATCGCCGACATATAGCTCCCTACAGACATTTTCCTCTACTTAAAATTTTCACTGTGACCTATGGCGTACCCTTGGCTTGGATCGAATTCTGGATGTGATTTGGTAGCCGCAGTTGCAATTAAATGTTGGTGACACTTCTTTCCAGTTTACGTTAAGTAATTTTTGTTTTAGTAGTGCCAAGATTCTAAGATTTTGAAGTTTTCAAGAGGAAACTGGATCACTATATGCTGAAAATGTGAACGTACTTGATCAGCTAGGTTGTAACGGCTCTGATATTTTGTGGGCCGCTATCAGCAATAGCCTGGTTGATCAGGTAGTCAAAGCCTGGCCTCTGGCCGGGCTAAGAGGGAAGATGAGCCTAGGAAACCTGTCACAAATGAAATGAGAGCGACACAGACAGTGACGTTGGTGGAAGCATTGACCCTTCTTGCATCTCGTGTTGCTTCCTTTGTTTCACCTACTTGTCTTCACTCACCTTGCCTGGCGTAACTGAGCTTCAGATGTATAAGTTACATTGCAATAACAAACCAGTTTACCCTTCTGAACTAGGCAATTACAGTTTTCTAAAATTACAAGCGTGTGCTAGTGTAGACTGTTTCTGGATAACTATTCATGGAGAAGTGCCGAAACTACAAGGATCACAGCGCCTGGAAAATGGGGATACATTGCCTTGTCTTTAGAATATCAGTAAGACACCATTACCAGTGTTAATGTTTATTTAGCGGACTTATTCTTCATTCTCTGGATTAACCTCTTGTTAGTTTCCTGCCTTAACTGATGTTTAAAAAAATAATGCTGTCCCTACCATAACCTAAGCGTAAGGAACGTTATGCTTTGAAATAACTGCCTTTTTCTGAACCGATGCTCGCCCTTATAGCTGGCTAAGCGTAAGGAACGTTATGCTTTGAAATAACTTCCTTTTTCTGAACCGATGCTCGCCCTTATAGCTGGCTATCCGTTTTGACACATGGCCAGAACCAGTAAGTACCTTACACTTGTTTGTCAGCTGTTTGCTAGCAACATAGGTAGACACATGCCTGTGTGTGAGAGGGACGTGGGTGTGTACTGGTGTATTCGCTTCGAGCTCAGCTGTGTTTGTAAGGGTCGATTGATAGCTCCTGGCTCCTTAGAACTGTCGAACGAGTTTGCAAATTCCTGGCTTCTTGACCTGAATATACGTGCTCATATGTGTGTATCTCCGTATCTCTTCGTCTAG